ACATTATCTTTATTTTTAACATAAAATTTGAATATTAAATATAATTTTTTATAATTAATATATAATTATAATATTTAATATATAAAATTTAAAAATATATAATTTAAGTATTCAAAATAATCTTCAAATTCTGAATTTTAAATTAAATTAAAATAATCATTAAAATTAAAAAAAAAAAAAAAAAAAAAAAAAAAAAAAAAAAAAAACAAAAAAAAAAGAACCAGTTGAGAAATCAATTTCTGGATAACAAATTTCTCACTAGACCAAAAAAAAAGTTAAAAATCCAGTTGAGAAATCGATTTTTCAACTGGGCCGAGAAAACGGGTCAGTTGCATGAATAAAAATTGGCCCAGGTTATTTAAAGAATTAAGAAAAACAAGTATATTAAAAAAAAAGTCGATGGCCAACTAAAATGCTGAAAATATTGTTAATGTTGTATGAGTGGAAAAATGCACCAGTAAACAGGTTTATTTCAATGTCACTGGTAACAAATTCATGACACAACACAAATACCAATCCATTTTGTAATAACTTAGTAGAAGGTATAGCTTGCAGCCTTGCAGTCTTCCATAAGATTATTCATTCAATATGGATACCGTGAAACTTCAACGAAGAAAAATGGCGTTACAAAAAATGAATCGTACACAAATAAGTAAGACACAGACCCAATGTTCCAAATTACAAAATCAAACAATTATGGGCTGGTCAACAGACAAATGAGATATTGCTGGACTTGGGTTCTTTGCACTCATTTGTTTTTATCTTAGTTTGCACCGAAATCTCCCAACAAATATTTAGAGACTAATTCTTTCGAGTTGCAGAGATCATGAAAATAAGTATTGCCTCTTCTAACAAAATCATTTCCTTGTAAATGATCAGAAATCAATTCCTTGATATGTTCAAGAGATCTGGTTAAATTTCAATGCAATCTTTTGTACTCAAATTTCATATCAACATTACGTATTGAGAGCTACATCATTTGCGTCACTCGTCGATTAAAAACATCATTTACTTGAGTCTGCATATTCTATCTTGCCTCAAAAATTGTAAGGGACATCTCATTTGTTGATAAAAGATTGCATGTTCTTAATGAAGATACAGATTCAGTAAACATTCCTGTGTAAAATCCCGGAGCTTTAGGCTGGGGCAATAATTTCTCACCATTCAGCATAGAAATCACAGAAGACATGTCTGGCCTATCTTCAGGTTTCTGTTGTACACACAACAAACCCACATGTATGCATCTTAAGACTTCAAAAGGAATGCATCTTTCACGTAAGTGTGCATCTATCAGTTCCAATGGTCTTTCTTCACTCCAATGTCTCCATGCCTAAACACATGGAAATTAAAGTTGTCACATACTTTGTATCTATTCTGATGTAACACAATTCAACTAGGTAGTAAAGTGGATAGTCACTACACTTACATGTCCAAGAAGGTTAAGAGAGTGTTCTGGATCAGAAAATCCCCTGTTCTTGTTTCCAGTAACAATCTCTAATACTATCACACCGAAGCCGAAGACATCTGATTTTGCTGAGTAATGACCATGCACAGCATATTCTGGAGGCATGTAACCACTACAAGTATAATTTTCATAATAAGTCATAAAAACAATTGCATATAAACTATACAATAAGTACAAATAGAAAGAAACTTACTATGTTCCAACCACTTTTCTGGTTTTGGCTTCAATTTGATCACCGCCAAACATCCGAGCCAATCCAAAGTCCGAGATTTTAGGATTCATATGTGCATCTAGAAGGATATTGCTTGCTTTTAAATCTCTGTGAATAATTTTGAGTCTGGAGTCTTGGTGAAGATAGAGAAGCCCTCGAGCAATGCCAATAATAATGCGAAAACGTTGATGCCAGGCTAAGAGCTTGCTTCTAGCTTCATCTAGTTAATTTCACTCGCATGATTAGTACACCACTGATTTTGTAAACAGGATTTAATGGTAATCACATAAAGATAACCATAATTTTTTAATGCAAAGTTAGACTTCAAAGACACTAACCAAAGATGAAGTAGTCTAAGCTCTTGTTGGGCATGTATTCATAGATCAACAATTTTTCCTCTCCTTGAATGCAGCAACCTAGAAGTTTCACAAGATTTCGGTGCTGAAGCTTTGCGATCAACATAATTTCATTTTTAAATTCCTCCAGCCCTTGATCAGACATCTTTGAGTGCCGTTTAATGGCTACCTCTTGCCCATCTATGAGTGTACCCTGAAAACAAAAATTTGGAATACTTATGAAATGTTTATAAGGAAATACAGGTCTTTATAAGATATGGCAATACTACCTTGTAGACTGGCCCAAATCCACCCTCCCCTAGTTTATTTCTGCTAGAAAAGTTATTAGTGGCTTTAGCAATGATTGACCAATCAAATTTTGTAAGCTCCATGTCTTCCTTCCTCAAGCTAAAATATTCTTGCCGCCGTTGGAATAGTGAGATATGAAGATATTGTCTTCTTGCCACTAAAATGTGCAAGATGACGATGTCAGTATTAATCAATATGACTAGTGTCATTGTTTTATTTATTTCCCTATTCTCGAGACCCTATATACCGGAATATATATATATATATATATATATATATATATATATTATAAGATATTGCAAATTCAAGCTAGATAATATGACCAAAATTTTCAAATCTTTTTCCAATAGAGGTGTTGCGCATCCAAAAATTATCAACCTCATGATTAGTATAGATGAAATGAGTTCAAAATTTACAACATTGTTATATTTGATACAAAATTTACCTTTTTTTCTAAATATTATTATGGAGACAAATGTAATGAGTCCAAAAATAGTCACGCCAACTGTGATTCCGATCAGCTGCTGCTTATTGCTCTGGCCATTAACTGCAACATGATATGACAGATGCAGAGGACGCATGATTAATCATTAACTATTAAAATCGCTAGTCAATTGAAGTTAAATATAGCATGACTAGTTTCTTTTGACTGAGGGAGTATGCAGATAATCGTTACAGTATTTAGTTTAGCCGTTATCACATGAGAAAAAAGGTAATCCGGTTAGAAATCAAAAGCAGTATAAGAACAGTTAACAACTAACAAGCACGAGGAAATAAGTAATAACTTCGTTGACAGTTGTTTGCAAAATATTATAACACTCAGATCTTTGTTTCAATTGCCGTAGCCTCCATTAGAGTATGACCTTATTTCCAGATGTGTAATACCAAAATTTTCTTTTAAACACGCCTTAAAAAATAGAAGTTCTCATTGCCTTGAAAATCAAAATGAAAAACAGTAATTAACATAACAAAAAAGCATGACTAATAAGTAACAACTTTGATTTGTAAAATCTTGTAACCCTCAAATGTTTCTTTCAATCACTTTAGCCTTCACTACTAGAGCAAGACCTTTTCAGATGTAATACATAAATTTTCTTTTGAACTTCATATATGTTAGATAAACTTATTCATAAACACGTTCAAAAGAAAAAAATAAGATGGAATAATGAAATAAGATTTTCTATAAGATAAAACTAGCTTATAAATTAGTTTAAAATAAGATTTTGGAGAAGTTAATATGGGAGTACTTATATAAATTAGTTTACATATAAGTTAATTTCAACTTATGAAGAAACTTATTTAAATTTTTCTTCTTATTTATTTCCCTTAGAAGTGTTTATATAGAGAAGTTTATCCAACCACCCTCATATCTTGTAATACAAGTTCTCATTGCCAAGCTCCTCTTCATCCACTTGTAATTATAATGAAAACTAGAAAACACTAGAATGAAAGGAAAATGGAAAAAGGAAAAACAGTTGCATACCAAGTTCTGAAGTTGGGACTCTGATATAAAGCTCTTGCCCCAACTGAGAGAATTTCCTCATGTCAACCAGATCATCATGCCAAAGCAAACAGCCACTTCCTCCGTGACGGATGTCCAAATTTGTGTATGCTGTACATGAACAGTCCTCCAGACATTTTTTCTGACATTCCTCAAGGTTCATGGTTTTACTATACCATGATGAAGATGTGTCTGGCAATTTCATGTTTGTGTACTTCCAGAAGCCATCATTGTTATTGCTTTTGCATGTAGAATTATTCCTCGTAACGCAGCCACTAGACCAATACGATACATCCCATTGATCAGGGAAGTAGGGAACATATCCTTTCAAGCATTCACATCTCGGAGCATTACCATCCATTCTGCACACAGAATTCACACCACAAAATGCATAATTATCGCACAAGTCTACCCCACCTGGGGTGATAACTTTACGACCGCTTGTTTCATTTGTCCAAACTAAACCTTGAAAAATGCCAGAAGGACTCAATCTATACATGGAGACAATTGATCTATTAATGACTTCATACTTAAAATACACTTCTTCTGCATTGAAGACAAATTCAAATCTTTGTATTTGCTTCAACTGCTGAGCTGGATATCCAGTGTAACCAATGCCATTCCATGATCCTATTCTAAATTTTATATCAGCTCCTTTCATAAAAAGTAGTTGTGGACATCCTCTAATGTCAATCTTTGCAGAGAACTCTCCCATTGCCGGATCATCTTCACTTTTCCAAGGTGTCAAAACCCTGTTTATACCAGTTAGTTTGTTCCATCCAAACTTCATTCCTGGCAAGTGCAAATCACACGGATAATCAAAACTCTGCCACAGAAATTTGTCCTCCATGCTGTTATCATCATGTTCATTCTTTAACACAAGATTGCCCGAGTCCATGAGCTTCACAATTGGGTTATTCATTGTTTTATTCGATACATTCGACGACCAGATACTCCTGTTTGTTCCACTGAGAATCAAAAGAACCCCATCTTCATTGAGTTTGAAAACTCCTGAATCATTCTGCAGTGGCGTTCCACGGTTGGCCACCCACACCACAGTTAAAGGAGATAAATTTCTGTACCAAACACCCAAATAACGACCAGTTGAATTTCCGGGACTGAAGAAACCCACTTCAAATGTTCCATCTGCTGAAACTAAACTCTCACCATCTCGGATAGATTCATTCACTGCTAAACTGCTTAGTGAAGTGCATGTTCTTGTATAGGAGAGTATAAGGAACCACAAGAATAACACTATGATGTGATCAACCATCAATTTCTACGATATGACTTCTCAAAGCTACCAATATGGAACTCTTTTATCTGAATTACACAACTAGGGAAAATGAGTTTAATGAACTGCATAGTTTTTAATTATGGACTGTGGAGGGGAAGATACATGATCCTGGAATAGTTAAAACAATTAAATCAAAGTAGGCGTCAGAGACGCCATCTTGCCACAAAAATTGACTTACTTAGTCAACTGCAGAGAACAACGTATCAAATCAAGATATGTCATAAGGCCTTAACCAGTCTTTCTCAACTGTTAAAAGAAATGTCAATGTGCACAATGTTATTTATGATTATTTTGTTTGACATTTTCAAATATAATTATATTTATTTTAATTTTCCAATCAAAATTATTTATTTAAATTTCTTAAACTTGCATGTACATATTTTAGTTCTTCTAATTATTTTTTTTTATTTATCAAAATTATAATGATAGTACTAGAGTTCGAACTTCAAATCTTGTGTAAACTACCTTAATCCCACCACGAGATCGTACTTCTAATTTAAGCCTAAATATCAAATAATAACAGATTTTATACCAACAGAATAGGTCACTTAGTCAATTATATGCATAAAAGTCAATAAAGTAAATACTTATCTTAATCCTGTTAACAAGACTTTGATTCGTATATGTGGAAGACTTTGTTTAGAGAAGTAAAATTCACATTGTTCAACTCGGCACATAAAAAAGAATAGTTTCAAGTGGATCTGCTTGGGAATGTTCATATGGTATTCAACAAAATGAATAAATATTTAACTTGTGCTTTAAACAAAGTCAAGTCAAAAGATAATATGAAACTCAATTATCGCTGAAAAGTCACAGAAGCAAAATCCTTTCAATATGAAAACAAAGCAATGAACGTTAATTTTTTTGTCCATGGACAACGACGTTAATTTGAGAGTGGTTTGATCACGCAAAATACAAATTTGGCATCGCCTCACACTGATTTCTTCGTGGAAATTTCTTTTGGATTTCTCTTCTAGCCAAGAATCTATGCGTCCTCTGCCCAGTTCCCACTACAACGTTTCAAGAACTATTAAGAAATATCGTGCTGACGATGGCGTGTAAATGGGATCAAGAAATGTGTACCGTCCACAAAGAAAAATAATGACAGCTAATATGGGTCAACAACCCAGTTTTCAATATATATTCTCATATTTGTGAAGGTAACTCGCATTAGCAAACAGTGGTTGCAACAAAATAATTTAAGAAACTAGCTTAGGTCAAACCTAGTGTTTAACGGTCTCAACAAAAGGGTGTCCAAAGTAAATAACATGTTTGGAAATGAGTACTAGTTTGTTTTTATTTTGACAATATTATTAAACTGACAACTGTAAAATTGATATGATTTGGTAGTCATGTACAAAAAATCAGTCTCAATAACGTGTGACATAAAGCTTCTTGATTTTTTGCTTCCCTGAGTTGTGTGGAACAAGTTGAGAGGGTTATAAACTGATCCTTTTCATGGCTTCTAACTGTTTTTCTTTCCTGCTTCACAACCACATTCCATCTCTAATCGCAATTAACAGTTTTTGGCATTATAGAACTCTTTGTTTATCTCACACATTTGCATGCATTAAACTGTAGTATTTTGTTTATAAATGCACAGAGAGAATGAATAATATAGAGTGGGAAGATACTGATATTTTATTAAAAGACTCAATAAAAAGAGCATAAACTATATCTCATTACAGTCCCTTATTTTACGGACATAACAATTTTATTTGAAATTTAAGAAAAGAATCATATCAGTCTAATATTTAGAATGTAAACAGTTTAAAATCTCTACAAACTAGGAAACAAAGTATAACTCAATCAATTTTTATAGGCAGGTGTTCAACATGAACAAAGATAATGCAGGAGCTCAAACAACAATTTGACTGTATGCTCAAATAACCGATATATCCCACATTAGAAGGTGAAGCCTTATCACATTCTTGCTTCTATTCTTTATCTTGCATCTAATATTGTGATGGAAAGTTCATTCACCGAGTACGGTTTGTGATTTGCCGATGGAGAACTTGCATCAGTTGAAATATCTATTGCAGTGTAAAAACCAGGAACCTTGGGCTTTGGCAATAGTTTATCACCATTCAACATTAAAATCACTGACGACATGTCTGGCCTATCTTCCGGTCTTTGTTGCACGCATAATAGACCTACCTGTATGCATCTTATGACTTCAGAGGGCGTGCACTGTTCTGCTAATAGTTCATCCAGTAATTCCAGGGCCCTCTCTTCAGTCCAAAATCTCCATGCCTGAGATAGTGACAATTAAATTAGTAAGAATGAAATAATTCAATTTATTTTAACTAGCAACATAATCAGATCAATATGCTTACATATCCAAGAAGATTATTGTCGTGTTCTGGGTCTGAAAATTCTCTATTTTTCTTTCCACTTACAATCTCTAGCACTATCACACCGTAACTGAAAACATCTGATTTCACTGAGAAATGTCCACGCGCAGCATATTCGGGGGGTATGTAACCACTGAAAATAAAATTTTCAAAATTAAATAATTAAAACTTTACATAACAATCTCAAAGAATCTTAATCATATAAAAACAAACTCACTATGTTCCAGCCACCCTATTTGTGTTTGCCTCTACTTGATCTCCCAACAATAATCGAGCCAAGCCAAAATCTGATATTTTAGGATTCAAATTTGCATCTAGTAAAATATTGCTAGTTTTTAGATCTCTGTGAATAATCCTCAGCGTAGAGTCCTGATGAAGATATAGAAGTCCTCGAGCGATGCCACTAATAATGTTGAAACGTTTACTCCAAGCTAGGAACTTTCTTTTGGTTTCATCTAGTCAAATACACGCACATATTTAGCATAGAGTAATGGTCTCCATAATTTACTAAAGTTTAAATAACTTATAAAAAGACTGTAATGGTGTTTAGAATAAATCGTAAGGCCTCTAACCAAAAACAAAGTAGTCCAAGCTGTTGTTGGGCATGTATTCATAAATTAACATCTTTTCTTCTCCATCAATGCAGCAACCAAGAAGCTTTACAAGATTACGGTGCTGAAGTTTGGCAATCAATGCCACTTCAGTTTTGAACTCATTCAACCCTTGTCCAGAGTTCTTTGAAAGCCTTTTCACAGCTATCTCTTTCCCATCTATCAGTGTGCCCTGGAATATATTCTGCTATAGTTAGAACTTAAAGAAAGTTTTTAAGTCAAATAGAAGTTCTAGATATCATTTTTTCTTCTATCACCTTGTGTACTGGTCCAAAGCCACCTTCTCCAATCTTGTTTTCAGTTGAAAAGTTTTCGGTGGCCTTAGCTATGACTGAAAAATTGAAAGTTGGCAAATCCATATCTTCCGCTCTCGGTATATTTTTGTAATTCTTGTTGCAAAATTTTCTTGCAGCCCCTGATTGGCATGGAAATAAAACTATGTAACAAAATATGTACTTTTTTGTGGAGATGATAAATTATATCTATATACTTACCTGGATGTCTAATAATAAATACGCATAAACATGTGGCAATTAATCCAAAAATAGTGACACCAACAACGACTCCTACTATCTTCTTTATGTTGCTTCCGTGGCCAGCTTGATCTAAAGAAACAAAGAACGATCAGTCACCAACTTTAAAATAAACAGCTCTTTTGACTGAAGCTGGGAGAGTGAATCTAGTTTTTTAAGACTGAGTTGCGGAGAAAGACATTGTGTTTAATTTAAAAAATAAATGTCATATAATAAATAAATGCATTACTAATAACTTTCTATGCAGTTGTTAGCTAAATCATGCCTTTCACACTGGTTTCAATTATTGCCCCGAGTTGAGCAAGCATTCCAAGGATCAAGAATAGAATGTTTGTTGAACTCACTTTGAATTTTCTCACGGCCTTATGTCACTCTACCCTTTTACCATGGAATAATGCCATAATCAACAGAAAATCAAACTGGAAAAGAAACCCAAGAAACCGAATGCAAAAATTGAAATCAAAATCAAAATATTGATTGAGTACCTAATTCTGAAGCAGGGACTCTGACATACAAGTCTTGTCCCCATTGAGAGAAATTCCTCAAGTCGACTAGATTATTAAACCAAAGTAGACAGCCACTTCCTCCATCACGGATATCTAAATTGGCATATGCTGTACAAGAACAGTTTTTAAGACATGACTTACGACATTCATCAAGGTTCAAGGTTGAACTAAACCATGATGAAGATGTGTCCGGTAATTTCATGTATTTGTATTTCAAGAACCCATCTGTATAACTGTTTATGCATGTAGATTTATTCTTTGGAACACAACCATTGAGCCAAATTGATATATTCCACTGATCAGGAGACTTTGGAACATAACCTCTCAGGCATTCACAATTTGGTTGGTTACCATCATAATTGCATAAAGAATTTGCACCACAAAAGGCATAATTTTCGCATTGATCTTGCTCCCCAGTTGAGACAACATGCCTGGTGCTTGTTTGAGTTGTCCAAGAAAAACTCTGCCCTATGCCTGATGGGGTCAGGATATACACAAAGAAGACCGAGCTATCGAGACGACGGTAATCATAATACACTTCTCTTTCATTTAACACAAAATTTGGTGTCGTTGCAAAACTTGGACCTGGATTTGCAACTAGAGACAAGCCATTCCATGACCCTAGTCTCTTTTCTATATCATGTCCCTTGAATATGATTATTTGAGGATATCCTCTTAGGTCAAGTTTTAGGGAATATTCTCCCTCAGCAGGATCATCTTCACTTTTCCATGATGATAAATATCTTTCTAGACCAGTCTCTAAGTTCCATCCAAGTTTCATTTCTGGCATCCATGTATCACCCATATAATCAAAACTCTGCCACAAGATGTTGCCCTCGTTAGTTTCCTGTCCACTTTTCACTATAAAGTTTCCCGAATCCAAGAGATTAGCAATTGGATCATTCACAGCTTTGGTGGATATATTGGATGACCAAATGGTGCTGTTTGTGCCATCGAGAAGCACAAGAATCCCTTTTTCATTGAGTTTGAGAATTCCTGAGTTATTCTCAAGAGGGTTATTTCTGTTGGCCACCCACACCACTGTCAAAGGGGATGCATTTGTGTACCATATCCCCAAGTATCGTCTTGTTGAACTTCCTGGACTAAAGAAACCCACTTCAATAATTCCACCTTTAGAAACCAAAGTCTCACCATCTCTGATAGATTGACTCACTGCTAAAGTGTCTGATGAAATTGAAGTTGTAGTCATGTATGAGAATAAGAACAGCAAGATAAACAGCATTATGATGTTACGGAAGAAATGGCTTCTAAATTTTGTAAGCAAGGAAGGTGCTCTCACTTAACTTTTTGGCCTTTCCTGGTAATATAAAGTTGAGGAAGATGAGCTTCTGTGAGTGTAAGGGCTTTTGCAGAGGAAGAGGATGATTACCATATAGAATCGGAAGGAACTCAATAAACTGCTGTGAAAGCAAAGGTATGATATAATGGAAGATGGCTCGTAGAGTAGTACCATGAAAATGCTCATTGTTTTCGTAAGAGAAAAACCAATGACAGAGTCCCTCGTAGAATTGCAGCATAAAAAAAGCATAATTGAAGTTGGATGGATTAAGATATCATCATGTATTTTATATTTGAATTTTGTAAAAATATTTATTTAATTACAAGAGTATGACCTAAATTTATTTATGATATTTCTATATTTAGAGAAAAACTATGATTTCTCTTATTCTAAAATTAAGGAAACTTCTATGTACTTATCATCAGGGAAGTCTAATGCTGTAGTGCTTAACTAATCTGTAAGATTGGGGACACTTGAGAATCTCACTTCAACCACATGGAGTTCTGGTAGCTGTTGCAAGAATTTATTAATCTTATCTTGAATGAATGGGATCTACAGTTGTTTACGGAGCCTCCATTCCAATTGGTATAGCCTGGTTCATTGGACACCTTCCCTGTTCGTGCTACTGAAAATTGGTGATCCTTCTTCTAAGCGCTTCCAAATCCATTTGACTCTAGAGAGGCTTATTTTGTAATTATATTTTGTAAAGTTATATTTTTAATGAGCTTTTTATACATAAGAAAAATAGGAAAATAAATTCTAAAATAATTAAAATAAATTAAATTTAAATATTTTAAATAAATAAAAGATTATTGTCAAAATTAATTTACAATATTAACTAAATTGTATTTTTATCTCTCTATTTTTATCAAGTAATCTTGATTTCTCTATTTTAAAATAAAGATATTTAATCTTTCTAATTTTAAAAATATAAAATTTTGATCTTCTCATCAAATTGACATCTATTAATTATTAAATTTTAACGTTCACTCATACTTAATTAATATAATATTTAATAATATAATATTTGAAAATAAAAAATATATATATATATATATAAGACTTTTATTAATTGTTCGGTTCAAAACTAGAGAGAACCTATTCCCAAATTATATAATTTGACATGATATCCTTTGCGATACGAATTAAAGCTATATTACTCCTCGTCCTAATTATTAACAATAAATTGAATTTATTTTTAAATTTAATTATAAATAATAATTATTAAATTTTAAAGTTATTTATGATTAATTTTTTTTATATTCTTTATTTATTTTTAACTTTATTTTCTATACATTCACATGTAACTAATATTAAATATAACAACTATTTAAAATAAATGGTATATTTATAATAAAATTTGAATTTATGGTAGAATTGATTAAAAGTATTCAAATTAATTATTTATCTTTGTTTTGATAAGTCCTATATTGCTCTTTCCCATTAATTAGGAGAAGAGATGGTATTATTTTTAGTAATACTTGCATCCATAAATTGAAGAAAAGATGTAATTTTCTCAAATAAAAAAAATATATCAGTAAAAGTGGATATCTTTTCTTAATAACATAATTTTTCAATTTTTTTTTTATCTTTCATAATGTACGGAGAAAAAAGGACAAGAAGGGATAAACAATCAGAAATGTAAATTATTTGCTTTTTATAAAAAAAATAATTTAATATATATTTTTTATTTATGAATATGATTCACAACATATCTCAAAGTTAATAATTAAAGACTAATTAAATATAAATATAAATTTTAATTATTTTACAGTATTTATTTTCTTGATAAAACGATCTTGCAATTTATTTTTTTTTAACTTACATTTTATATATTGTTTATACTCTTTTAACAAAATTTTACTAATTATAAAGGTCAAAGTTTATTCAAATTTAATGTTATTTTTATGTTTGTGAGTGTATCTAAAAAAAAGTCTTAATTGACAAAATTGTATTACCTAAAATGTCTAAGTTTATGTGTAACTACAATATAATAAAATGATTTTTTTAGTAGTACTTAATATTATTTTTAGTGATAATAAAAATAACTACAAAATATTTTAACAGCATTTTTATATTAGTTATTACATGCAATGTCGATAAAATATTTATGAACAATTATTTAATCATTATATACATTGTTGATAAAATATTTACTGACAATTATTCTGTATGCCGATAAAAAATTTTATAATAACCAAAAAAAAATGTAGGAATTGTTTAACATTTTTTTTTACTAATATTTAACATTTTTTACTATTACTACTAAAAATTTAAAAAAAGATTCATAATTTATATACTCTTTAATATTTTAACACATTTAACACACACTTTTACAAAACTTATTAAATAGATGCTTTTGACTTGTGTGTCACAGAAAATATCTCCAATTTAAGATTTAAGATAATTTATTGAATAAAAAATTACTAATTTCTAATTAAATAACATAATAAATTTAATTAAAATAAATCAAATAACAGTTGGTAATAGGGAGTGTTAATGCGATTTGATTTTACTCTGTATCCACAGTTTTGACTCAAACATTAGGTGATAAGGTTTTTACTTTAAATTTCTTTAAAAAAAATATTTTGTATTAATGTCTATAATTCAAAAGTCATATTTTTTGTAAAAAATATAATTATTTTTAAATTTTATTTTTTAAATTTTTATTTTATTTTTATTATAAAATATTATCATTAATTTTTTAAAAATCTCACTTTAAAATTTATTTTAAACATTAGAATGTGTTGGGTCGGTCTTGTGTGTCCCATCCACAATGAGCAGTAATTAGTATTTGGTGATATCCCAAAATAAGTCTCAACTCCAAAAAATTAAATGTTTTTAACCTATGTACCTTTGAAAATATATCCAATTTAAGAGATTTTATTAGGTAACGATTTTCCCAATTTAGGTACAATCTTTTTATGATATTTTTATATCAATACTAATAGTTATTAGAATGTTGAGGAAAGCAAAGAGGTCCTCAAGTAACACGTAAAATATAATAATTTTGAATTGTTCAACCACTTACGTCTACTTCCTTACCGTTGTAAAGGCTCAAAATGAAGTCTTCAAATCGAGCTTTGGTTATGACTACATCCATGAATCAACATTTCCCGGAACCATCAAGATTATGTTGAATCACATTTAAAAATAATTGATATTCCACTTCTTGTGGCGTGGTTGACTTTGACTTTTATATGATAATAGAATTGAGTAATGATTTAACCTTGGAACTTTTTGTCCGAAATTTCGTCCGAATAATTAAAATAATAATAATTTTTAAATAATTAATTATAAATAATTATTATTTTAATTATTCGGATGAAGTTCGAACAAAAATTGGTTTGACTTTGTAAAGGGGTACTCTATTAATCTACTAACTCAGACTTCACATGATCTATAATTTTATCTGCCAAGAGAAGGAAAAGGATTAATTTAAAACTAAGCGAGTTTATGCCATTGACCAAGTCAATATATCCGGAGAATATCAGACAGAATTCAACTGTGAGTGTTATTAGTTATGCGTAGAGCACGCACACAGAGAAAATATAGTTCTTATTTATCAAATGGAAGAATGAATTACAATTGACCTATGATAAACAATTGTTTTCTGTCACATATACAAACTAAAAAAGAGGGAGAAAAAACAAAAACTAAAGGCAATAATATACTCTCCCACAAGCTGGACTTTGGAGATCACAAAGGCCAAGTTTGGAGATGAAAGAGCTAAAGGATGGAACAAGTAAAAGCTTAGTGAACCCATCAATTATTGCATCTAAGTTTCAACCACTTAATCTCTACACGAATAGATTTGCATATAGAGTTCTCAAATTCCAACTAATATTTGACCCGCGCACGAATTCATATATAAATATATAAAATATAATTTTAAAATATTAAAAATATTTTAAAAATTATTACATGAAATTATAAAATTAAATAATCGTAAAATATGTATTGAAATAAGAAGAATATAAAGTTTCTATGTAAAAAAAATGTAGCAAAAAAATATGATATAATTACATCTATTGAATAAAGATTTTAACTTGATCACTTTGTAAGGAATGTTTTAGGTAGATTTATATAATGAAAAAATAGATTATCACTACATCAAAATTAGTTTTTTGTGGCAATTAATTTATTATTTAGTGGCTATATAAATAGTCATTACTTTTTTTACCAGCATTTAACTAATGGCTGGTGTATCCAGTGTCGCTAATACTATTACCGGCATTTATATAAAATGCCGGTAAAGATCTACTAAACTGTCGAAAAAACTTATTTTTTTTAGTGGCAATTCTAGTAGCCATTTTAAAGGCTATTAAAAGTTATTTTTTTTCAATTGTCTCCTTTACTTTAAATAATTTATTCCTATAATTTCATTTTCTAAATTCATAACTTATATACTTTTTTATTTCTACTCGATGTGGGATTTGTAAGATGAGAGTTGTCTTTTATTTATATATTTTTTAATTGTCTTGTCTTTTAAGAGATGTGAGATTTATAAGGTGAAAGTTGCTCTCTAATTATTTTATAGCACTATTGAACTTGGTAACAATGAGTGATTTGATACCAATTTAGAATAGTGAATTAGGAGTCAATCCTATAAAATGAACCTGTAAGGTGATAGTTATTAGTCACTTATATACTATTTAATTATCTTATCTCTAATCGATGTGGAACTTAAGTTTTTTCCAATAAATAATTGTCGCTAATAGTAAACTTTAGTGTATATAAATATATTTTTAGTGGCTATTATATATTAGCCATTAATATTTTTACATATGGCGGCAATTAAACTATTGCCATTAAATAATTGTCATTAATAACAAATTTTGTTGTAGTGTATAAACTTTGCGTTTATAAACATGATATATGAAATAATTTGTGTGATTGGAAGAAAAATGACATTTTTTAATAATAATAATAATAATAATAATAATAATAATAATGTTTAATTTAAAACAATCATTTTTAGTTATTCAATGATTTAGGAATTTTATTTTGAAATTATATGATTCAAATATAATAATTGTATTTAGGAATTATGCATAGGATATAATCATTAAAAAAGAGTGATAATAAAATTAACATTAATAATAAGTATTTTAAGAACACTAATTAATTTAGAAACTTGAGTCATAATGAAACATGATAATAGGGTTAGAATTTTATTTGTATTAATTAAGTAATTGATAAATATAGTAATACTTAATTATAATTATATATTAATAAT